TTTCAATTTTTTTTAGCTCGTGCTCGTCTTGCAAATACTCAAGGTAAAAAAGCAAAACGTAAAGCACGTGAAAAACAACTTGAAGAAGCACGGCGTTTAGCATCATTACAAAAACGTCGTGAATTACGTGCAGCTGGTATTGAAGTACGTCGTTATTTTAATAGAAAACGTGGTGTTGATTATAATGCTGAAATACCGTTTGAAAAACAACCAGCTAGTGGTTTTTATGATACAACAATTGAAATATTTGATCCGGAAAAAATTGATTTTAAACGTTTACATGTTGATAATAGAAATTTAGCTGCTAAAGAAGAAAATGAACAACGTGACAGAAAAAAAGATAATGCTAAATTAAAACGTAAAAAAGACGAAGATTTACCAGCTGTTATTATGAATGAAAATCGTCTTGAACCAATAAAAAAACGTTCGAAATTAGTTTTACCAGCACCACAAATAAGTGATATGGAATTAGAACAAGTTGTTAAATTAGGACAAGCTACAGAAATAGCTAAACAACAAGTATCCGAAAATGGTACGATAGCTACAGAAACCTTACTTGGTGATTATAATTTAACACCTGATTTAAATAAAATTCGTACACCACAATTACCTTCAACACAAGATAGTGTACTTAATCAAGCACATAATCTTAATATATTATCAACTGTACAAACACCATTATTAGGTGGATCAAATACACCATTAATGGATGTTAGTAATGAAAAAGCAAGATCAGCAGCTGGTTTAATTATGTCAACACCGAATACTTTATTTAATACACCTTATCGAACACCAGTGAATGCAACAAATGAAGGAACAACACCATCAATACATGGACCATCAACGGATTTTAATTCCGGTGGTATATCTGTACGTGATCGATTAAATATTAATACTGAAGAAATGTTATTTGATGATCAATTAAAACAAGTGAGTTATACGAATATATATATATATATTGATTTCAAAGTCTTATCATTTTTCATTTTATAATTTATGAATGAAGATAATGATTATTAAATAATAAGAAAAATAGAATATTAACACTGCCTTGTATAGTTTTGCAGATCTTTCTTGATATATCTTCATTTTCTCTTTTTCACTGATGAAAATTGTAGTGAGATTTATCCCGATCTAAAAAAAAATACATAATTGATAAAATACGACAAAACATCAAATATTTTTCTTTTAGCGTGAAGTTAAACAACAATTACGACATCATCTTTCGCGTTTACCTAAACCAAAAAATGATTATGAAATTGTTTTACCTGATACAACAGATCAAACAAATGATGATGATCAAATGGATACTATAAATATTAAAGATGAAGATCAAGCTGATATTGATCAACGTAAACTTGAAGAAAAACGACGCAAACGTATGAGAAATATAATTCATAGTTTTGTTTCATATGAAACTTTTCTTTTTGTAGAACACGAACATTTCAAACGACAAACACAAGTTGTTCAACGAAATTTACCTCGTCCGAATGATATTAATCTAACAATACTTCGTCCAGCAAATGCTGAAGGTCCAATGACTGACTTACAAAAAGTAAGAGCAATATTTTGTATTTTTTTTTTAATTTCATAAATTCATTTTCTTAGGCTGAAGAATTAATAAAACAAGAAATGCTTGTTCTTCTTCATTATGATGCATTAAATAATCCCGTACCCAATAATTCTACTAGTCGTAATAAAGATTTTTCTACTTATCTTGATACACACCCACGCGAAGAATTTACAGATGCTGATCTTGCTGCAGTAATTATCTAATTGAACTATTGATTTTCAATATAATAAAAAATATTTTCTTTTTCTAGGCTCGTGCATTACTCGAATCAGAAATGAATGTTGTTAAAAAAACCATGAGTCATGGTGATTTAAATCTTGATAGTTATTCAAAAGTATGGGATGAATGTTATTCACAAGTTTTATTTTTACCATCAAAAAATCGTTTTACTCGAGCAAATGCAGCTAGTAAAAAAGATCGCATTGAATCAGCTGAACATAAACTTGAAGTATGTCATTTATTTATATTTAAATAAAGTATAAAATATTTATTTTCTAGCTCAATCGTAATTTAATGGCACTTGAAGCAAAACGAGCAGCAAAACTTGAGAAAAAATTGAAAACATTACTCGGAGGTTATCAAGTAAGTACATGATTAAATTTTTCAAGGAGAATTTAAATTCAACTTAGTATCAATCATATATTTAATTTCAATGTAGAGATCTAACGAGAGAAATCTTTCAAGTATTGCATTCAGACTATTTGCATTACGTAGTTTATGCAAAGTTGTAAATCAAAATTCGAAAATCAGTTTTGGTGGTGTTTCTGAGGGAGATTACAGCATTTTTATAAAATCTCTCTACATGTCTGAACTCAAAAGCAAACACATTTTTCTATACAAAATTCAACATAATTCTCAATCTAATTTGATTATTTAATTTAGTCTCGTGGTCAAGCACTCATTAAAGCATTAAATGATGTATATGATCAAATTGATCAAACTCATGTTGAAGCTAAAACATTTGAATTGCTTCGTCAAAATGAAGTATTAGCTATTCCTAAACGCATAGAGGTAAAATATAAAATTAAATTCATATGAAAATCATTTTCTACATAAATATGTATATTTGTTTTTCTCTTATAGTCTTTTACCGAAGATGTTGCACGACAAGACGAACGTGAACGAGAACTTCAACGACGTTATCAAGAATTAGTCGAAGAACGAAATCATTTATTAGAACAACAATAAAAATAAAAAGAAATCAAACAACATATATGCTTCTTTTCTTCTTTTCTTCTTTTCTTGTATAAATATTGTGTTTTTTTTTTTGTTTTCTTCAAAAATATTAAACTAAGAAGACTAGATTTTCAGATACTTTTTTTTGTTCTCTACACACTATGGTGGATTCTGAACTTGATGCCCTTCGTGCTAAACGTTTAGCTGAATTGCAACAACAAGTAGGTCAACAACAGTCGACAGGATCTGGTCATAATGATAGAAATTCAGCTGAAGAACAACGACAAAAACAAGAAGATATGCGTAATACAATGTTAAGTTCATTGTTAACACAAGAAGCACGTGCACGTTTAAATACAATTTCATTAACTAAACCAGAAAAAGGACGTATGGTTGAAGATATTCTTATACAAAATGCTAGACGTGGCGCTTTTGGTGGTGGAAAAGTAATAGAATTATATGAGAATTCAATAAATATATACATGATTCTCTTTAGGTTACTGAAGAACAATTGATTGGACTTTTAGAACAAGTTAGTAAAGCAACAGAGAAAACAACAAAAGTCAATGTAAGAACCAAATCTTAAACATTAACAGAAAGAAATAAGAATTCAAAAGTTTTATCGATAAATATTTTCATATTCAACCTTTATTTGTTTACGCGATCGTTTGAAAAATAATTTTATCATTATCTGATCGTGTAGAGATTCATGAAAAACAAAAGTTTTTCGATTTTTATCATTAATATAGCTTCCAAATGTCTTCTGTCAATGCCATATAAATACAGAGTTTTCATTGCTAGTTAGTACTTTTATTAGACCTAACTTTCTGAATCTCTGTCAGAAAATATTGCCTCTAACATCGCTGAACAGTAGAGAAACAAAGTCTTGACACATACGGAAAAATTTGCATTGCGTTTTTCTCAATGTCAATTTTTGAACAAAGAAAGCAAAGTTTTCTTCCACACAGTACGTCCAATAGGGCCCAAATTAGTGTGCGTATATTTTTTTGTCCAGTATTTTTGTACTCTTGAGATCTATGGATGATATATTTGAAAGAAAAAAAAAACATGCACCTCCTAGTCTCGTTAAGAAAAATCGTGATTGTTTTCTGTAGTTCATGTTGTTTTATTCTTTTTAAATTTAAATGACTTCTTTTTTATTTTAGTTTGATCGACGACGTGCTGCACTTGATTCTGATTCAGATTAGTTGAACTGCTTCTCTCATGTTATATCTTACCCTTTGTTTGAATGAATTGTATACGCACTTAGGATTATGCTAAATAAAAACAAAACAAACAAGTTCAAATATTTCATTTTTATTTTCAAAATGGAAAACTTTTTTATTTCTATTTTTTTAAAGATAATATAGCTGGCCTTTTTTTTTGAACAAGAACAATGAAATTTTGGACATCACAACATGTATTTGAGTGAGTTTTCTGTTTATATTTCGAATAATTCATGACTATTCATATTACATTTGATAGTCATGATTGGGCAACAGTAGTAGCTGCTGCATTAAACAAATATCCAAACCCAGTAAGTCCAAGTGTTATCGGTTGCGATGTTCTTGATCGAACAATTAGTTCATTGGCCGTTATTCATTCACATCGTCTGTTATTAGCCGATTGGGGTATCGCACCAGCATTAAATAAAATACTTAACATGAGTGAACTTGGATATGCAAGTGAACATTCAACAATTGATGCTCGACGACGTGTTATGACTGCACGAACAAGAAATTTAACATTAAATCGTTTTGTTAACATTGAAGAACGACTTGAATATACAGAACATCCCACCGATAGTTCAAAAACATTACTAAAACAAGAAGCAACAATTAATGTTGAAAAAGTTCCATTGACTAGTTATGTTGAAACACTAGTTGCAAGAACAATTAATACAAATGCGACTAAAGTATTAGATTAATAATATGAATATTGTATCAGTATTAGTGATGTTTATGTTAATGTTTAGGGTCGCCTAGCAATGGAATGGGTTATTGACAGAATGCGTACTGTTCCATCATCAGAACCAACTGAACAACTAGCTTAATAATTTTTCTCCAATTGTAGGCCATATATATTTTTTTCAAATGTATGTGATTTTCTAGCATACTTTTGTTGTCTCTTCGGTGCAGAAAATTGAATTAGTAAAAATAAAGAGATTAAATCTTAAAAAACAACAGTACCAAATAAAAATAGTTGTTGTCTTCTTCAACAATATATTTTAGATATGATATAATAATACAATATGAGTGATAGTTGGTCAAGAAGTCCTAGACAATCATCCACATCAGGTTCCGTGATTGGAAATCTGTATATGCACTCGAATAGTATCCCTAATGCTAATCGTAGCCGTCGACCATCATGGTCTGATGCTAAAGTATGAAAGATAATGTTTGATTGTCATCTTTAATTATATTTCCTTTTGTTTGTAGAAAGTTTGGGATATCGGTGATGAAGAAGAGAATTATTCTGATTCACATACACAAATCTTAAAAAAATTAGATACTTATTATCGTAGAGTAAAACGTCAAATTCTTGCATTTCAAAGTTTAACAACTGGTCTTTTTCCTAATCATCTTGAACCAGATAAAAAAATTGCCCATGTTGTGGAGAATGTTTTTTGTGCTATTGCTGTATGGTCATTACGACAATGTTATTGTAAAATTGATAATGATCAAGGACGAGCACATGAATTAGGACAAGCAGCTGTGAAATGTATGCGTGGTATTCTTAATTGTTGGATGAGACAAGCAAAAAAAGTAAACATTGAAATGATCAATTATTTTTCTTTTTATTATACATAAATAAATATATTTTCTAGGTTGAAATATTCAAAAGTGAACAATCAACAAAAGATGCATTACATTCACGCTTTAATGTTTTTGATGGCAGTGAAGTTGAAGGTGCAGATGAAGTTGGTCAGTTACAAATATGTGCTATATCACTTTTTTTAATAACACTTGTACAAATGATTACATCGAATCTTCAGGTAAAAAAAAAATCTATCTGGCATGTTTTTATACATAAATGTCGTATTTCTTTTTTGTTTATCTATTTAAGATTATTTTTTCTATGGATGAAGTAAATTTTGTTCAACAACTTGTTTTTGCTATTGAACGTGCCTATCGTACACCAGATTATGGAATATGGGCACGAGGAAGTAAATATAATACAAATACATGTGAACTTCATGCAAGGTAAGAAAAAAAAAATTTAATAATATATTTAAATTATACTTGTTTTTTGAGTATAGTTCTATCGGTATGGCAAAAGCTGCACTTGAAGCTTTGAATGGTTTTAATCTATATGGCGATAAAGGAGCAAATTGGTCAGTAGCTTATGTCGATGTGGTATGAAATCAATCGATTGATTATCAGAATTGAATAGAATAAAACGTTTTTAGGATGCACATAATCGAAATCGAACCACATTTGATACACTTTTACCTCGAGAATCAGCATCTAAAGTAAATCATCAAGAAAAACAAATTAAAATTTTCTTTTTTTATTCTTTTAATTTTTAGAATACTGATGCTGCTTTATTATTAACAGTCAGTTGGCCAATATTTGCTATTCATGATACAACACTTGTACAGAATACCATTCGAAAATGTATTAGAAAATTACGAGGAACACATGGCTTTAAAAGATTTTTACGAGATGGACAATACACAGATTTAGAATCCAAAGATCAACGATTTTATGAAACAACAGAAATGAAGGTTCGATTTTCTTAAATAGTCTCTATCAACGTCTATATTTTGTTTTTTTATTTATAATTAATAGAAATTCGATAAAAATGAATGTGAATGGCCAATGTTCTTTGCAGTAATGATTATTGATGGTAAATAAATGAAAATTTTATTCTCCTTCGGTGACAATGTCGTAATAATTTTTTTTTCTAGGCATTTTTAAAAATAATCAAGCACAAATTGATGAATATTTGGCTGTATTAAATCCTCTGCTACGACGAACAACTGAAGGTAAAAACAAATCAAATATAATTTTGTTACAGAAAATATTTTGACAAAACTTATTCTATATAAAATGAAAGAAAAAAGTGTAGCACACTTTTTATGTTTTATATTCTTCCTCAAGGAAAACGTATTGAAAAAAATAGTTGTATTTGACGGAGAATCTAAACAACTAAAATGTTTGCTAAATTGTTTTTTCCTTCACTTTATTTAGTACCCGATCGTAGGGGTTCATTTACTGCTATTTATTCTGAAACCAGTTCACCCAAATCACGTTCCAGTAGTAAAGGACAACAAGATTTATATTCATCACAAGACACTCGTATGATCATATCTTTTGTTAGTTATATAATTTTGCTTGAAAACCCCTATTATTTTTCTCCATTAGCTAACATGAAAAATCTACCATCCTCTCGTACTTTAACTTCATCATTAACAAAAGGTAGCATTGTTCGTCGTATACATTTACTCAATTAGTGATTAGTGTTTGTTTGTGTCAGATGAACTTTTCTTCTTTTGTTAATTTCCCTTATATATATAAATATATATATGCATGAAATGCATCCGATCCCTTCAATATACATATTAAATTTTATAACTAATTGTAAATAAATAAAAATTATTTATTTTATAATAGGTGAAATGATGGTACATTATTATTATGTTGATCATTCAAAACAACAAAGTAGTGCTCAAAGTGAGAGTAGTGATCGTGGCAATAATCAACAACTACCATTTGCATGTAGCTCTGAAATTCTTCATGGAAATTTTTTTCTTTTTGGTCAAGCTATTTGGATTATTTGTCAATTACTTGGTAAGGTTTATAAACAAAGCTCATAGGAATTTTAATAATATCAATGTATAGTACCATTAATATAAAAATAATTTCTTAGCATTACAGAGAGTTAACTTGAAGAGAACCAGAAAATAACTTAAGTCGTACATGAGAAGAAGTAGTAATTGCTTCAAAAAATTTCTCATAATCCATATAGTTTTTCTTTCTTTTAGAGCTTCTGTCTGATGCAGTTTCACTATTTCGATGTTGGTTAGCCTTAATGTACATTCTAACAGTCGGTAGTGAATCCTATTAGACACTGGCTATCTTTGATAGGCCTTGATAGCTTATAATGGATCTTGAGATATTCCAATGGAAACTAAATAAAACTAACGCCTCCTACGTAGTTTGTCAGGACACTGTGATATATGTGGACATTTAAAAAAAATGAAGTTTTTAATAATTTTTTTAATTTTTTCTTTAGTTGATAAAGTTTTAACAATTAGTGATCTTGATCCTATTCGACGTTATCTAGCACCTAGTGATCGACCAAAACCAAATTCAAGATATTCATCTATTCAAGTAAATGCAAACTTTGAAAATTTTTATTTTTATCTTCATTCTAAATAGGATTCATTACGCTATCAATATACTCCAAATATACCAAAACCAATAACAATTTCACCATATGATGCAGTTGATGGAAAAAAACAACAACGTGTAGTTGCTCCAGCGAATGTAAACAATAGATTTTTGATACAAGATAAAGATAGAAACAATCTTTGTTTTTTTATTTAATATTAGGTTGTTTTCTCCGATTTAGTTATTCAAGTTGTTGCCATATCAGAATCTGTTCGTTTACAACAAGTACTAGCAACATATGGTATTCAAACACAAACACCGAAACAAGTTGAACCAATTTTAGTTTGGCCACCAGCAGAATTAGTTAAAGTATGATATTTATTTTTCCTTTTTTTTTTGTAATAGAATTATTTTATTATATGTTTTAGGCATATGCAAATTTAGGTGTAAATAATAAACTTGGCTTTAGTGGACGTCCAGATCGACCTATTGGTGTACTTGGTACATGTAAGGTAAAGAAAAGTTAATTGTTTAGAATTTTTAAAATTTTGTTCAAATGAAATGTTGTATGTTAGGTCTATAGAATTTGTTCAAAAACTGTTTTATGCTATCCATTAACATTTGAAACAAATGATTTTTATATGTCAACTGATATGGCTTTATTATTAGATAATATTCGAGTAACTGCTTTTTTTTGTATCATATGGAATCGTTGTTCAAGTATAGTTAAATCTATTTAGACTGATTTTGAATTTATAACTAAATGTTGGCGTCTCAAAGGTCGACCAATATATTTGGTGATGTTACGTGAACGTCATCTTCGGTATAAATTTCTCATTTCTCGTATTCTTTTTTTTTTTTATTGACATGTGTTTTAGAGGTCCACAAAGATCGGATCTTCTCGAATTATTAACACAAATTCGTCAAGGAAAAATTTCATCAAATATATACGTACGACTAGAACGTCTACAGGTATTTTATTAAGTATTAATAATCGAAAAAAAAAACAAAATTATCTTTTTTTATTTAGACTGCAATATCAAGTGCTTGTGTCGAACATCTAGATTTTCTAAATGATTCAATGTGTACAAGTTTGGAATGGCAAACAGTTGCTGTTCATGAACATAAAATTACATCTGAAGTTGGTCGTTATAAATCATTAACAGACGTATCAAAAATGCCTATTGTGGTTGAAGATATTGATTATAATAATCATGTATGTGTATGGTTTTGCATTTATTTTATCAGGTTTGGTAAAATAATGCAGAAAAGAGTGGATAAGGTATTCACTATCCTTTTCTTTTTGTACGATTTATCTTTACAATGAATAATGATTAGATGATGAACATGATGAAATTGAATAATTCTGACTAGCAGTCAATCATACTTGAATAAGTAAAATTAAACATTCTGAACATATTATTTTTTCCATTCTACGTTTTCTTTTCATCGAGTTTTTCCTATTCCCTACATTGGAGAGTTCAATCATTTTAAGCACTTCACTGTCTTAATTCTAATTAGGTCACTCTGCGTTACCGAAATCAGCATTTGTTTCTACATTCTCTGTTGATTTCTTCCTCTAATTTTTGTGTCTTTCGCGTAAAATTAACACATATTACTAAGCTATTAATATTTTAATTCTACATAGATTTTATTGAAAGTTTTGTTTGTTTTTGTATCTATTTAGGAATTTAAAAATCGACAGGATGACGAATTACGTGAATTTATTAATAATGCAGATACATCGTTAGGTTCACTAAGAAAACATGCATTAGCTAGCTATGAATTATATAAACGTGGTGGTCTTGATTGGATGATTCGAGAGAATTATCGTGTTAAAAATCATCTCGAACATATATTAAAAGAAGCTGCAACATTGCAACATTGGTAAAAGAAAATATTTATATAAAAATAAAATTAAAACTAGAAAATAATGTTATTTTTAGGGCTGTCATTCGTTTTGTATCTAGTCTTTTACATAAAATCGTTGATAGTTTAGCTCCATCAGTAACAAATTTACTCGTACGAGGAAAAGCGGTAAGTCTCCATATTAAATTTATTAATTGTTAATTTGATTTTTATATGTTATTTAAGGTTACTCTCGGAGTTTTTGGTCATGAAGAAGCAGTTATTGACAGACCAGTATGTCATAATATTAATTCATAACGTTTTTTTTTTTTTTTTTGTATTTCAGTTTTATTGATTGTTTTTCTTGTAGATACGTCCGAATGAAATATTTAAGATACTCTACAGTGAGAATGTATTTGGTTATAGTATATTTCATGCCGTTCTGTTGCAAGAAATACTTATTGATGTTGCACTTTTTATGTCTACATTTCCGGTTAGTTGAAAATGATATGTCATTTAAAGAGAAAAAAAAAATCTTGAATTTTTTTCTAGCAACTCTTTAATGGTATCCTCAAACTACGACTTGGGTAAGAAAAATAATAGAAGAATGAAACGTTTTGCTATATATTTAAGCAAAAAACTAACTTGTGAGATGATATTCATAGTTTTCTATACAACAGTCTATATCTTTTGTTGTCGAAACAACTAACATAATTTCTACTGGACTTGTTCAAACTATTATTTTCGATAGATCCAACAGTCTAAATGTTTCAATTGTTCCAGTAAACATGTATATCATTTTGTTGAACATGTAATAAACCCTAATACAACAATTCTTAGTTCTCAATTTTAATCACATATATATTTATTTCTTGATTCAATATAATTAAGTTATCTTATTGTATGTAATAGATGGATTCTTCAAGCAATGAAACTCAGTTTAGAACATTTGAAAGGTGATGTTGAAGATGCTGTGGTAAATATTTATTTTTCCTATTATTTATGAATAGTTTTTTGTTGTATAATGCTTTGAAAAGACATTAAATACATTATCACCAAACGAAGTCAAACAATTACTTTATTTTGTTTTAACAACTGATTTACAACAAGCATCAATACAAGGTGCTGATATTGAACAAAAGTAAATAGGATATTTCTTTTTTTTGTTGATAAATAATTTACTTTATATTGAAATCAGTTCATCTTTTCAAAAACGTCAACTGGATGGAGCATTATGTCGTGTACCAACTGATTTTTTTGAACATGTTTGGTCAATACTTGAAAGAACACCTGGAGGAATAAAATTATGTGGCGTTTTTCTTCCACAAGTAAAGCTATATGAATTATAACAAAAACAAACGAAAAATTTGAATGTTTGTTCTTTTTTAGCAACCAACATTATCGGATATGACTGATTATGAATTAAATTTTTCATTAAAAATTGAAGAAATGCTTAGTCGAATATCTGATCCAGCCTATCGATGTCTTGTTGTCGAAGTAAATTGAATATTCTATGTTTTTTTTTGTGTTTTTATTTTTTCTATAATGAATGATATATTTTAGATGTTTGAATTAATCAATGTTTTATTAAAACGTAATGCTGAATTACGTTTTACTCAAACACTTGATGCGGATTATTTAATACGTGAAGCTGTTAATTTATATCAACAACAAACAAATTCAACAGATCCATTTAAAGATTTCTATAATCTACCAATGCAACTTGTTGGTGGCTCAACAGGCTATATGGTTCGAGTTATTATCAACTATTTATTTAATGCAAATATGCAAAAAGTTGATAGTCTTGATTTAAATATGGGTACAAATGCCGATATATGCAAAATATCCTGATTATATATATAGATATATTCTTGTGTGGGATTTTTTTTTATCCGTGTTTTTTTTTGCATGAATAGAATTTAGCCATAGCATTTCAATCCAACGAATCTCTTCTTTCTCCATATTCATTTATCAATCAAATATTTTGTTCAAAACAATGAAGAGACTATTTATTTTATTAAAATAAAAACCAAATAGAATGAACAATTTTATTGTGAAATGTATGGCGGCTGCACAAAAATAAGTTATTGCCATTGTTGGTAATAAACATAAACATTACAATGTACTGAAGTTTTAGAAAAGAGTCATATGAATAATAAAAAAACAACTTGTTTTTGCAAATAAAACTAAAGCCATCGTTACTATGAATTTTTTTGTCATAAGACTTAGAAAAAATAATCTTATATCCTTCGCTTCTAAATTCCTAGATGATTTCTCACTTTCCGATTCGCATTCTATCTCTAAAATGTCACTATGAATACAACCGTCAGAAAGTTCTCTCATTTGCTCATACACTAGTTTTTCATATTAAAAAAGTTTTCACCAAAGATTGCTTTTACTCTGCCTAGAGTATAGAGCCTATGGAATTGTTTTGATTGAGTATAAAGACTATTTTTTTTGGACACTATTAGATATTTATTTTATATCAACATATATCACTTGTGAACATGTATATGAAACAGATTAAATTAAAGAAAGCAAGAAATTGTGTTTTCTATAAACAAATAATCTTCTCCCCTCAGTAATCATCAATTCGAAAACAAAAACAACTCTTGTAGTTATGTTTCAGCTTTTATTACATAATGCATTGAATTTGAAACGTGAAATGAGAGGGCTTCTATTATTGATTCAAAACAATTAGAAAAATATTAAAAAATTATCGAATCGTATTTAGCTTGTTCACGGACACAACGTTTAAATTGATCAAATTTTGAGTTTGATACTTCACTATCATTATGTGTCTGTGAAAAAAAACCAATACTCTTATCAATAATTGAAAGATGTATAGAAGAAAAAGAAAACAACAACTAACATGAAAATTACGAGAAAGTCGATCTTTCATTACAGTCATAAATTCATTATAGCTTCTATAAGAAAAAAGAATTTCATCTGAATTCTAAAAAAACACTTGATTTACAAATGTTGATCTTCATTAGCATCGAATATTCGAAAGATGAGAGCAATTATATGAGATTCAAGTTCAGAACCCATTGAAATTTTTACTGCTCGTTGAAATTCAGCTACAAGGCAAACATTTAATTAATATTTTTAATGAGAGAAATGCTTACCTTGTGAGATTGGTTTATTTGATAATTGATGAAAACGCATACCAATAGTAAAGTCTTCAAGATTATTGAGAAATACAGAAAAATGTTTAAATTCTTCAAATGTAATTGCCTATTTTAATAGAAGCTTAGTTAGGTTAATGATAAAAAAAGCTAAATTTTTCCCAGTACGTTTTGTTTATCGCCAAGTTTTCTGACATTTTTTAATATAGATTTTTTTGTATGATGATCAAAATCTGCATAGCGTAAAAGCATCTCAGCAAAACTCAACTCTGACATTGTTTTGAAACCATGTGAAAATTCACTAAATTCAATTTCAAGTACTTCTGTTTGGAGATTTTACATAAAAATATATAAAAAAAAATCATTTTGAATTATCTTATTTTTTTTTGTATGTACCGTTTAAATTCTGCATAATTCAATGTATGACGACCGATTTTACCAAAAAAATGTATAAGTAATGTAGTATTTGTTTGTTCACTATTATCAAACTACAAAAAGAAAACATTAGTTTGATTTAGATTTGTGAAAATTATTGATCAGAAATATCAATCTATTGTTGAGTCAGACAGAATTGGTTTCAAGCGATAAGGATATATGGACGATTTGCAATCTCACATTATTGTTTGAGTTTTCAACAAACATTTGAGACTATTGACCGATTTGAATATTTTTTTTTTTGTTGTTTTGATCTATTATATAACCTTCACTACCACCGAAAAAGTCAATGTTTTACCGTATGCAGTTCTCAAGTTATGGACCCTAAAAATGTCGAAATCCTGATTTTTCATGTCATCTATCAAATAAAAGTGGAATTTGTTGTGATTTTTATTTCGTATTTTGTTTTTGATTTAACTTTTTTACTACCTTGCAGAGGATACTTTGGACGTTCAGAGAATGCACATGAACTAATGCAATATCATACTTTTTTCGTTAAATATTGATGACCTTTGAGCTGACAAACACTTGTCGTTTATTTGTACCTTGAGATTTTCCTGTTTGTTTTGCGCTCAACGGTGTCACATCTCAATCCTTTGAAATCAAATAATTACCCTTGTTCAATTCACGTGAACTGCTTGTGATTAAAATGTTCTGCGAGATTTTTGGGTTTATGTCTATACCAAATCGTGAAGAAAACCATAGTTATTTCATATCATACGATTCCTCTTTTAAGGCACTATGCAGAGCAGGACAACATTGCAGCGAATATGACATATTGACTTATCAAACGATATGTCACACATTTTATTTATATTGATTATTGATCATTTCTAGAAAAATGACACCGGATATTGTAACAATTTTTCAGAACCACTGTCTGTTCGCCACTGCCTTTACAATAGTAGTCGGAAGATTGTTTTTGGACCAGTTTTGTTTCACAGACGGTACAATGAGATTGAACACTATCCCTATATATATGTTTCCATTTTCTAATGCACAAATACGTATGATGTTTTAGTTCCTTTACTTAATCCTTTCTTTATTGAATATGTTACATATATGTGCAACCAAATATGAACACATTAAATATAAAAACAATGTTTTTCTTTGTAGATTAATCATGAAAGATTATAACAAAAGAAGTATAAATAAATTAAACTTACATTAAAATAATTATTTTGATTTTGATTTTGATGAAGAATGTTTCTTTGATTGTCGACGTATCATACGTTTATCACTCATTACTCTTCCAAGCTAAAAACACTTAATTATTTATTTCACAAATAAATATTTTCAAACATACTAAAAGAAATTCATCTTTATCAACCAATTGATTACCTAAATAATTTCTGTTTAAACTGATGAAAAACAAATATTTTAAATTTATTTATAATTACAAAGAATTTTTTCAAAGTTTATCTAAAACACATTATAGTCAATGATATATTCTTTTAAATATTCTTGAATATCTTCTTAAAAAAGACAAAATCTAAATTGCAAGAAATGTATAGGAAGATAGCCTGTGATCTAGTCTTTCATAAACGACTTGTTTTTTTTTATTTGGCACTTTTTTCTTTGTTAAAATGTCTGCTGGTTGCTGTAATTATCTGCTTGAAATATATGTTGTCTTCAGAAAAAAAAAATTCGGAAATGTTCTTGAAGGAGTGTTACTGTAGCTACATCGATGTCTGAACGTCTCAGATACTTAAGAATAAGTATTAGTTATTATTAAGTATTTTGAAAAACCTTACCATCCGTATCAAATACAGCAAATGCAAGTTCGAATTGTGTAGAAGGTTCTAGATTAATAAATCGATATATTATTAATAAAAATAATATTTCTTACTTGTTAAAATCACCCAGAGAAATAAATATTCTGCATATGAGATAAGACCTATGAAATGATCAAAAGTCAAAAGCACAAAAAGTATCCTAAATGATACCAGCATCTTCAAGATTTCGAAAAAATCTTTTTGATCCTCGATGTTTTGGTAGTGTCATATATAAAATAGTGTTAACCATGTCTTCTATTAACTGTCGACGACCAATACGAGCTAATAGAAAATCAAATGAGACTCACAACTAATATGAATTTTTTTTTCTTACGTCTAGATCGCTCTGCAAGAACTGATTCGAGGAAATCGGTTGGTATCTAAAATAATTGTTTTTGTTAAAGATTATTCAAATAAAAATAAATGACCATATATATTTCTCCATTATATTCAATCGAAGCAAAATCACAAAAACGTCTTTCACGAACATTGTTAATACTTTTATCTGTTGTATTTAAGTCATCTTTCTCATTTTCTTCATCATCCACATCATCGTCATCGTCAATATTTTTTCTTCGTTCAATCTGTGAATTTTTTGAAAATGCTTTTCCTACGTTTCGTTGCTTCTTAAAAAGTAATAAAACAACGTAATTTATTTAAGTAGAAATGAAATTCAACTTAGAAATTCCGCAGCTTGAACTGTTAGTGCAGATAATAAATGATTATTTATTCTAGAATAATCATAATGAGAGAAGAAATAAGATGATACTATGGATATACTTGTAATAGCAAGTGTTTTCCAATATCTTATAAAGAAATTAACCATTTTTAATTACATCTGAAAAGTAAAAAAAAATGATTTAATCTTTTTCGATGAAAAGATAACAATTATTTATTTGATATGAGAACATCTACAGAGTATGATGGGAATATGAATATTGCGGCAAATAAAATTTAGATTATTGAATGATATATCCACATTTGATTCTGATAATTGTCTTTATTTGTTTGTTAAGATAAATAATCTTTAATCAAAAATATGGATCAATAAAATACATATGTATATTATTTCTAATGCCATGTAAAACGTTAATCTTTCCTTTGAAGGTAGTATCTGAATGGTGTACTATGGATCAGGAAAAAAACAAATGAATCAGCCAATTTCTTCTATATATTTGGTCGTTTAGTTTTATTCTGTTTATACAGACGATTGTGCAGCATACGAATGTATGCATAATCAATATAGATCTCAACGAGACCAAGAATAATTTCATGAGTTTAAATCATGTATCTCATCCTGACACGTCAACCAAAATTAAAATACTTTGAATATATTTTCTTATTTCGCATTATGATATTATAGGATGTTATATTTCCTTCGATTAATTATTACAATATTTTTGAGTAATAAACATTAGTTTTGAAAGATTTATATACAGAGATGAACCAAAGTCTTCGATTATTCTGGATATCAACAACCATAGTAGCCAGGCGTGTAACAATCTTTATGCATATAGTGAATTAAAAATTGTAGGTCTATAACCTAATTATTAGAATGACAAGAAATTGTATATTGTGAAAGTTCTGTCAGTATCATAAGGAACTACATATAATTCTCTAAAATATCAGCACATAGAAATATATAGATCGATCTTAGAATATTCATAACTTAGTGATGGTTTCACGGATTCAACATAAACGTTGGATTACAATTGTACAATTATTGTATTGTGACTATTTACAGTTTCTTCTTTGTTATAGACAAAGTTTTCAATATTCAGTAAATTTAATCTACGGTCAATATCATGAATTTACCTTCATGGTGCAGTATATGTTCATAAGCTTTCAGATCCTCATTCACTATTACATAGGAATACATCTGACTGATGTTTTTTTCATATACATTTCTTCGATTTAGAAAAACGTGAAAATATGTCTAACAAAAGTAGAACACTTTGATATATGGTTCACAATAAAAAAGAAAAGTATACAAATCCTTTAATTTTTAATGCCAATCATCACATATTTTTCTTAAATTTTTTGTCTATCCTCGCATCTCTTCATAATCTATATAAGCTCCAATGTCAATATATTTCATAAAAAATAATTTATAAAATAAGTATACGTATAGATCAATAATTATATAGAAAGATCTTGATGCAGCATTATTTTCCTATTTAGTGAAGACAAGGTAGATTTTATGCTCCACGTTCACTTCACACGGTCGACTAGGTAACGAATACTGGACAAATTCAAAGTAGATGTTAGTAAAATGCATTGATATTTAAACTTGAAAATTCTGTCAATATCACAATAAAGCTTTTATTGCTTAGACAAATATATGCATACAACTTATTCATGTCAAATATAATTAAATAGTACAATAATGCATCAACATGTATTCATGTTGATGGCAGGGGTCAAAGTTTGACACAGAATGAATTGCATTTTTGGCAGATGAATACCAGAGAAAGATCGGCATACATTATTGTAGTGACGTAAATCAGACATGGCTAGAGGGGACGCTGCTCTCTTATCTCCGAAACGTAAAATATAACTAAAACAATCAAACTGAGCTATTTTCAAAGTAATCGAATTGCTTTATAAAACACAGCTTTTTCTAAACATTATCCATTTCAAAAACGAAGATTTGTCGATGGAAACAAGAGAGAGAGCTACAATTTTAACTATTACAAAGTGGAGATGGTGGTGTATCGAATCATCTAATACAGATTTTCTTGGAAAGTGGTTTTAGGTTTTCCAATGTACGATTTCGAAAACCAATGTATTGAGTCTAGTGACCACAATGAATTCTCAATTTTTACGAGAACATTAGAACCGTCAATTGATGACATATAAAACTACACAAATTGTAAATTTTTTACTTTAATCAGTCAGAAATTATCAATATTTTGCTATAAGATTCTACGTGATTTTTCCAGAAAATTAAGTTAATATTTGTCAGTTTGTTATACATTTTTCATGAAGACTTACCTTGCTGTAACACGATGTATTGCCTTCCTCTCTTTCTGATGGTGGAAATCGTAGCTCTCTGTCTTTTTAACAGTTCTTCTTTTTTGAAATAAATAATAGTTATGGATTCAATCTATTAATTAATTAGAGGTATTAATAATATATGTTAGCACTTCAAATACAACTTTTCAAGAACGACCGAAACTAATCTTGATAGTGCGGTTGTGGTTGTAGGTGTAGAGAAAGTCATTACTCATACTCATAATTAGACGTATTGAAGGTATGATTGAAGCACATATTCAACGCGCCGTTCGCGCTTAGCAATTCAAGCTGTTATGAGACAAGATATTTTAGTACAAGATAAATTTAATATTACTTCAAAAGAGGGCGACAATCGTGAAGCTATTTAAAAAGTCAGAGGTTTACTGTTTAAAGAATAAAAAGAGATGAATGATAGCAGATACCGAAGAGGAATATTTTCTTCTGTAAAGAGAAACGGATTCGGGTGATGTTTTTATTTTATACGCTGTTCACTTTGTTGTATGTAATAAAGACTTAGGATCAAAAAGTCGACTATTACATACATCTTGAACAAAATACTTGTTAGAAGAACATTTAGTCGATAATGATGATGATTACTGATGAATGTGAATCAAGAATATAGTACATATGAAGAGGATGTTGATCATGTATCACTTTTGTTCTGATGAATGATTGTGAGTACTTCTGTATATTTTGAGATATATCCTTCGCATGAAAAAAGTTATAAGGATACTTTGAAACCAAAGTTTTTTCACATTACAAATGAGTTCTAGATTTTTGCGAATATTGTTGAATATAAGTTAGATTTCGATCAGAGGTAAATACAATTGCATGATATATTAGTCGATGTTTTAAAGTACCTTTGAGATAAAAGTCATTATAAGTTATGTGATAGTGTATGATATGAAATGAACTGTATCTTCTTCATGATGTTTGTCAATATAAAGTGGATGCGTTTAACATGTTTTTAAAATGCAAGCAGACATTATTACATGCTTCAATTCTTTCATTTCTTATCTTCAGTCATTTTTTATTCTTTTTAGCTTTCTTTCTCATATTTTAAGACACACTCACTGCTAATAAATTAGGCAATTTATTCTAATTGTATGTAGACAAGATAATTAAATATTCTTGTGGATGTTAATAAATATAAATTGGGTGCGGTTGACGTATAATATGATTATATCAGATGTTGAGCGAAATCTTTTTGTGTTTTTGAGCAGTTTTGACATTTCTAGAGAAAATTTTATTAAGAAACGTGAATATTAGACAGTATATATTTGCGTCAAAAGATATGTCATGAGTGTGTGTGGGTGTTAGTGTGGCAAGGGTTGATTGTTAGTCTTTCTTGGGCGTGCATTTTTTGAATTAATGATACAAAGTAGGTATTAGTGAGATTAGTTTCGGTTGTCGTTGAAAAATTGGGTGTTTGTAGTGTTAGCATAAATTACTAATACCCTGATGATTATGCATCGCATTAGAACTATCGAATTTCAATCCAAGTTGATAGAAGTATATCTCTAAGATGTATCTGAGCATATATAACTAAGGCTTCTGATATTTCAAGAAATCACTTCTTGAGTAAATAATTCAACATCTATAAATATACTATTGACAATGTGCAGAGTTAATCTTATAACAGTAGTGGAAGTACAGTAAGAGCAGAAAATGCGTCTACTACGTTGTTTCTCTCTGAACATCTTTGTTCTGTTGGCTATTATCTCATTAATCGATGCTTCACCCCTCCTCGTTCCCAATGAGTCAGCTTCTGCAGAAAAAAGTTGCTCGGACTACTGTACCAACAACGGTATTTGTTTAATGGATGACGATGGTCCAAAGTGCTATTGCCTGCCCAGATGGATGGGAACACGTTGTGATCATATTCGAGAGCGCATTGTTCATGCAGACTTCGACTTTTTCAAGGGTGCACCATCAAGTTCACGGGCTACTCTGTGCCCAGCGTCACTGCCACAGGTATGTCAAAATCAAGGAACGTGCTTTCTAGACAACGCCAATCAGTTGAACTGCGCTTGTAAAGACACTCACATGGGCGACTTCTGTGAAGTCGAGTCAGGTATGTATTTTTTACTTTGAATCTGCAAATTTTTAATCAGTTAAAAAGTTGATGAGATCCTTATAGATAAGTCAGCTACAGAAGAGAGTTGGAACCGGAAAGTCTCCTTTAAAATTTGAAGCATGATCATTTTTGATTTCAAATGGATGATTTAATACGAGAGCTACAGTGAGCTTTGAAAATATTCTTGAAATTAACCTTTCTTTATTCACTTCTGATAGAGTGCCGCATCAGTTAGCAAAGTCGTGAAAACTTCTTAAAATAACCAAAATAATGTCACTACATGCACTGCTTGATGTGTTTCGATTGAGGTACAAGTAAGTTTCATAGTGGTTCACTCATTTTCTCAAAAAACAAATAATTTCTTCTTAAACTGTTCACTTGAAACAAAAATTCGGATAGAACATAGTGATGACGGATGGAAGAGAGAGCAGTATTCTGTTGCATCCTCACTAGGATAAAAGTTTTCTACAGAAGACAAAAGTGATTTTCTCTTGAAGCCTGTACATCGGAAGGAAATGAATCATAATAAACAAGTGATACAAAAATTGTTAGGGTACGTGATATCCTAAAATTCCAGCACGGCATCTGATTTAAAAGAAAACGTTCACTGTTGAACCGCAACGAGAACAACGACCTTTCCCAAACTTATTACAAGACTGATTTGATTTTGTTTTCTCGATTATGCACTATTCAAGGTTGCAAGGATTATTGTGCAAATCAAGGTACTTGTACCC